TTAATATCTTGTCTGTGCACGCTCATGTAGTAGCTTGAGGAGAAAATGGGGATGCCTGAGGAGCAAATAAATCGGAGTCTGCCAGCTTTCGTGACCCCCCCCCCCCTCTTGGGTGCGCGAAGAAAAAAAATCATGCAAACCTCTTCGATAAGTCTATCTGTCCTGATTTTCACCGCAATTGCTCCGCTCACATACAATGATGCAAAGGCTAATACGGTCGAAATCACGATAACTAGCACAAGTACGAGAGTGTTCCATTCTGTAACGAATTTCGATTACGATTCTTACAAGGATCCTCGTGATACAATAATGATTCCGTCTCGCCAAAATGTTGGCGTTGTGGTTATGGAATAAAAGCAGAATTTTCGAGGTTTTTCGTGGTAGGAAGCTGAATCCATAACACCATTCAAAAAAAATCGCTCTTACGCCTATTCACTATCAGTTCCACGATATTACTGCTGGTGATTGTCCCCACGGGCAAAGTCTCTCCTTGGTTTGACTGCAAATCTAACTCTCCATAATTTGAACACTCCTGCAATACTACTATTCGACAGCAGAAATGAAGCTGAGCTGAACTTTACCATCAACATCAGCGAAATTTCCTCAGCAGACAGTGGAGTTTTTTCATCCTCAAACGGTAAAGTTATTGTAAAATTGAAAACAATGCCTGAAAACGGATCTCTTATGTGCAAATAGTCTGAATTTTCCAGACTGCACCCATATAGATCCGAGCGTTTTTAAATCTGTAAATTGAGATCCGAAGCATGTTCGCCATCGATTCCGTCCATTTGCTGGCCATGACTGCGGTGTCATTTCCGACGACGGTTTGGAAGGAACGATCAATAGTCATTATCACTTTACGAGCATTTCCATCTCCGTTTAGTGCTAGAGTTGAACGTTGGACGTTTTTGAAAGGCTTCTGAAAACAAGGCCCTACTTCTATTGATGACCGTGTAGGCTGATTTGACTACAGCCACGGAGTCGTAGGCCTTGAATCCACTGTCGATGTGGACAGCTCGCTGAATAGCTTGCACAGCCTAGAAAACGAAAAAAAAACTGAGAAAGGTGGCAACTTCTTTTACGAGGGAAGCCACTTACATAACCATTTGTCATTTGTGAAAGGAGGAATGGCGGACGTAGAATGAGTGATATTTCTGAAGAATTCGCGGTCGCAGCGGCAGATGCAGCATTCACAAAACGGCGTTGATCCACATGACTGGATGAAGCAAGCCGAGACACGAAGTGCTCCTGCTGACTCGAAGTTGGCACGGCACCGCTGCTCTGAGTGAGCGAAGTCTTGTAATTGCCTATTCACCAAGGAACTTACCAATTGGAATGTTAGTCGAATCTCGCTGTGATCGGGAATATTCATGGGCACCGGGGCCGCTGTAGTGAAAACACTAAAATGTTTGAGCATATAGCTAAAGTGCAAAAGCGGATTAGGCAATTGTCCGTCCAGGCGATCGTATGTATAGGAGCGCAGGCTCATTATGGCCAAAATCAAGTTTGCTGATTACGTAGTTCAATAGTTAGGCATCTCTTCAATAAGAGCAAATGAGAGATTGGAAAAGAAATTTTTCGGTAATCTTCGATTTGCGACGGTGGTTCATCGTAAATCTCATTAGCTATGTACCATTTCTTTTCTTCCATACAGCATTACATTTTGTTGACATCGCAGAGAAAATTGCCTTGCGAAAAGTTGATCACACTGTGGGACTACGTAA